TTGGCAGACACAACGGAGTAGGCAGCCCAGTCCGTTATTCCATAGTTGAAGATTCCTAGGTCCCTTCACCCTGTGCAAATTGGCAGTTGATAATCCACGTTGGCGATTGTCTAACTGCACCAACAAAGAGGTTAGTTACGCATTATCAGCTCCTCGCAGCTATACTCGCCCATCAATACGCGTAGACATTACCTCCCTCCGATTACCCGTCACAAGCGGACTCCCGATCCTCCAGATCCCAAAAGTCCTCCGGCAGAAAAGAAGCACTTCTCCGACAAGTCTACGTAACGGCTACTGCCTGCCAAAGCAGAGAAAAGTAAGTTAGATGCAAACACTCCAGAGCCCTAGATAGTGATAAAAGTCGATTCTTCTCCTCACTCAACACAGACGAATTCGTCAATTGCAATACACGATCGCCAGATGTCCGGAGTCCCATATTTCTCATATGCAAATTCTCGAGGTGAAATGGAAACGGCTCTCCAGGGGATAAGACCTCCAACTTTTGACTACAAGTCCGCCAATATTAGACGACTGCGAACATTGCATTGATGCGACGATATACACTCCACAGGCCTCCACCCAAACACACCACACCTCTTGCGTCAATGCTTTGTCGATACTTCACTTCATAGCACAAAGAAAGTGGCAAACTTGGCAAATCGAACCTGGCCTAGCTCTGCATGTGGTAACTCCAAAGTACCAATGTCCTACCTTCCAAAGGACGACATCTCAAGCAGGAACAGCCAAATGGATAGTGAATTTGCCCTCGCGCACAACACTATCATAAGCTTCAACAGTGCTCAGTCTAAGCCAGATTCAATAACAGCAAAATCACTATTACCTTGAAACTTGACGCCCACTTGCTCGCCACATATGAACAAGTCGTGTGAGAGAATGATTTATGAGAGCAATAAAGCTAACGGTAACGACGGTGAAACGACGAAACCCACCACGCCTGAGCCCCGCACCGACCTCAGTGCCGCACATGAGGTGATATTTGGCTTATCGGCGCATTCAAACAAGTGCAAATAATTCTATTACATGTAGCTGTCTTAAATGCAAAAAATGCACCAAAGATAAAAAGACAAATGTAGTTCCTTCAAATGGCATTTATCGCTGCAAGAAACATTTACCAACTGAAATAACATGCCAAGCACTAGCACAGCAGCTCCACAATAAAGTGCAATCCATTCACGCGGTCGTTTCGTAATCTTAACTGATTTGCTGCTATTTGTTTAGCGTCTTTCACTACTTCTGCACTTGATCTAACTTGGATGTTTTGTTTTTTCTTGCACACGCGGTTGAGCCGTATTCAAGTGGGTGTGCAAGCCGCACATTCCCACGTTGGTATGTGTTGGAACGAATGTGTATTATTTTACCTTGTGGAATTTGATGCTTTTCTTTTCAAGTTTAGGAGCCAACTACAACAGGTTGACCGTTGTATTAACGCAGACTTTACCCTTGATGTTGTGATAATGCTACGACATTGCCAAATGATAGCAACTTCTTTTAGCAGATTTTTCTTGAGTAGATTTGCATCATCTTTAATGCAAAGATTTGTGTGCTTAATGGTTGTGACAACTTTTGAGGATGAGATATTTGGAACGCTTTGCAATAGCTCGAGTGTAAAGATGGCTTTTCGCCTTTACAACTGCTTTTTACATTTTGCTCATAGTGAAATTGGTAGAAGTGTGACTTGTTTGACCCCAACATGCGTCTCTTAACAATTTAGTGATCGGTAGTCACCATTGAGTTTGCTCTGAATACATACATGCATATGCATTGAGTGCAGCCCTTTGCACACGAATGGAGAACTTCTCACCTTTGTTTTTTATCGGCCTATAAAGATGTGACGAGTTGGAGGCTATCCATGTAGTGGCTTTTACTGGGTCCCATTTTCTGATGTTTGACAAAGGTTGTCCTTGTGGTGATTCTCCTGCCATACTGTCATTTGTGGAGCTCTGTAGTGATGGTGAGGCGGACGGCCAGCATC